AAGATATACACCCGGAACCGATCATCCCTTTTTTTAAAAAAAAAGGGAAATACTCACATAATAGAATATGTCTGTATAATGAAAGTGTGCAGCTCATCATACCACTAAACAAGAAGCGGTAAAAATGTCTGTCTAGGAAAAGTGCAGAGCCATCATTCCACTAAACAAGAAGCGGATCCGTACGGGTTTCGGGACCTGCCCCCAAGGATGCGATTCCCACATCCCGATCTCTGTGGCCACCATGCGTTGTATCATTCCTTAAAATATTTCATTTTAAGAAATGATACACTTTGAAATCTCATTTTCAAAATCATTGGAAAACTTATTAGCATTCTCATGCTATTTCTTTAAAATCATTTTTCTTTAAACATGTTTTGTTCTAAAACATTTTCATTGGCCAAAATAATTTAAAATGAGGCTAACAAGGATATGGACAAGAATATCCTACCTCTCGAGTGTCAAACCTGGGCTAGCCTTCAGTTCTCCTAGCCTCCGCTTTCCTTAAAGCCTTAATACTTGACCTTCTCCACTAGCTTTATCACAAAAGCAATATCTTAGGAAGTATTTCTCATTCCTAAAACGAATTAAGCTCAATCATGTTTAATTGTTTCCTATTAGTGTGCATTGACTCAAATCCAATTTTCACAATGATTTTATAATTCAGTTTGGGGGTTCTTTTTAAAAATTAGAATCCAATTCATAGGTTTGGTTTTCCTATTTAATTTCAGTTTAAAAACAAGTTTCTACAGAAATTTCGGCAGCATGCCGGCATAAATAGGAAAAATGCCAAACCTGCAATTCAAGTTCAATTTCAATATATATTCTCCAGAATCCATCCAAATCAGTTTCTAATCAATTAAACAAGTCCAATAACTAAAAACCCCCAAATTTCATTCAATTCCAATAATAACTGTTCAAACTCGAACCCTAACTCAAAATTATTCAAATGTAACCAAAATCAAACTTTCTCAAGCTTAAAATTCAAATCAAAGAGTGAGTTTCAAAGGGTTTTACCTCAAATCAGTTGCTCGAGCTTTGTCTCCCTCAATTTTTCTGTTTTTCATTTTTTTTTTTGTGATTTTCGGCCAAACTGCCGAGAGAGAGAGAGGGAGAGAGAAACCCGGAGATAGAGAGCAAGGGGGAGAGAGGACGCCGGCGGGAGGAAGCCCGAAGAAGGAGGTGGCCGGCGGTGGAAGAAAATGGAGAAAGAGAGAGAGAGAAGAGGCTGTGCGTGGGAACCAGAGAAGAAGAAGAAGAAAGAAAAGAAAAAAAAGAAAAAAAAGGGGGGGCTAGCGCACGGGAAGGGAAAGGGGGAAAAGAAAAAAAGAAAAGAAAAAAAAAGAAAAAGAATAAGAAAAGAAAAAGAAAAGGAAAAAGAAAAATGGAAAAAAAGGAAAATGTATTAAATTTAAGTGTGTTTTCCAAAAATCTTTGGGGTGAAATTATAAACACTGAAAATAACTTAAAGTCCCTTGATTAATTATGAAAATCAAATTAGGCA